TGATTTCTAGGGGTAGGAGAAAAGGGAATCATAATTAATACCACTGAATTAAACATGCATGAAATGTTGAGATAGCAATTTTTTTTTGTTATATAGACTCACCACAATAATAATAATAATTATTATCTAGATTAGAACTGACAAATTCACTTTTAAACTTTTTTAAGTCTTGGGAGATAAATCAGAATTATACAAATCTTATTTTATGCTAAGATTCTTCGTGAACAACTTTTAAAGTGTCAGAGGAATTAAGATATGATAGGTATGTGCCTGGTTACTGGCCCTTGATCTCCATATGGAACTCTTACACAAGGGGGCTTTGAAATTTTTGTGGAAAAATTCCATTGTCTTGGGGAGCAGCAGCAAGATGGCGGACAAGGCAGAAAGGTTGTATGGACCCTCTACAATCAAGTTAAGGAAAACCAAATGAAACAGAGGCAGATGATAATCCTGGAGCTCTGAACTTCACATAAAGGGATAAAGAAGTGGATTGAAAGCGTACTAGGCGAGAAAACTGAACAGACAAAGGAAAACAAAAAAGAGATAGACTAGTGACCCTTGCCGTTGACCAGACATGGCATGGCCATCTTAAATTTTGTGAGTGGTTTCAGAGATAAGACAGCATAATGGCAATGCAGAAACATACCTGTAACTCACAGAGATAAAGGTGCCGTTATTTTCTGGTTGAACAGAGGTATGGTCAGCCTCCCACTAGCATATATGCCCAGTGAAGCTCCCATTCTTCCAGTGATAAGAGCATCACTAAAGTAAGCGCCGCAGTTCTGAGTTCCAACAAAGTGAATGGGAAGCTATCCAAACCAACCCTGGTGCCTGATTCAGGCAAATCCTGCTCCAAACCTGCCAAGGCAACCCTGCCAGCTCTGCACTAGCCCTCACTATGAGAAGCAGCTGAACAGACGCATGGAGGGTAGACGGTGGAAAGGAGACAGGTTATCTGTGCTGGACTGAGAACCAACAACAGCAGACATTGACATACACGGCAACACCACCCAGAATTCCATGCAGATATAAGTATCCAAAGTAAAATAAACCTACAAGATTGAGAATAGGGAACCAGAGAAATCAATTCATAATGAAGACAACTACAAAGCAAAAAGAGAGAAAATGTAGTTACAGAATTCCAAAAGGCAAGGAAGTCAAGTAGATTTCAAGATAAAATAAACTTTTAAACTGGGGGATAAATTAATAAATTATAGGGTAACTTCAAAGAAAATCGATGCACCTTTATATCAAATCCAGAAAAAGGAAAACCATGAAGATTCAGTAAACATTAAAATTACAGCAATGAAGGCATTGACAAGAAAATGCACAAACAAAATCAACTCAGTGCAGAAAATTATGTGGAACAAAGAAACCAGCAGTACCACACACACACACACACACACACACACACACACACAAACACACACAAAACCCACAGCAAAATGACTGCAATCAACTTAGACGTTTCAATAATTGCACTGAAGGTCAGTGGATTACATGCACCAGCTTAGAGACGGCGAGTAGCAGAAGGGTAATAAAACAGGATCTTTTAATACACTGTCTATAAGAGACACACCTACACACAGATAAAAATGGATAAAAAAAAAATCAAAGGATGGAAAAAATACATATATCAAGCTAATGGCAACAAAAAGCAAGCAGGAGTGACAATATTAATTTCTG